ACCCCGCCGCCTCAGCTCACTCTAGCCCGGCCTCAGCGCACGCTAAGCTGGGGCTTCCCCTCACGCTAGGCCGCTGTGTGTTTCGTTGTGAAAGCGAAACTACTTTGTTTGGTCTTCCAAAAGAGGACACAACTAGAAATCAGTGGTTAAGTTGTATTTACAACACTGTTTCAGAACAGTTTAACCCAAATATCCAGATGTGTGCAGCGCATTTTATGGAGGACTGTTTACTGATCCTGGGAGAGTAACGTTAGACTAAAATGCGGCAGTTCTGACTCACGTAAGTAGGTTTTCTTTTCAAGGATTTGCCAGATGATTCAAACGTGAGTTTTGGGCAGTGTAGAGTAGCACTTGTTGTTTGTCATTTCTCGGTCATTTCTCTGATCACAAATGCAGACAGAGTTTTATGTTTGCGCGGCGTGATGCAATGCAACAACGCGTAAAAAGACAGTATAAGTCATTATAATCAGTAATTATGTCCCCACTGGATGCAACAAATACATAATTTGTAATGGGTTTTAATGTTTTTGCCTCGTCGCTCCGGCCGGACACGACAGCAACAGTATGTGAGGGGCGTAACATTTCCGTCTCATGCTTCAGGTATTCGGCCAATCACAACGCATTGAATAGCTGGCCAATCACAGCACACCTCGCTTTTTCAGACCGATGAGCTTTGTAAAAATCGATGCATTTCAGAAAGGCGGGGCATAGAGGAGAAACAATAATGTACAGTATGTGGAAAATAATGTTTTTTTTTACTTTAAACCGCATAAACACATTTCATTACACCAAATACACAAAATAATGTTATTTTTAGCAGCATCATATGACCCATTTAATGCCCGCTGTGTAAACTTAATCTCCAGAGCTGCCTTAAGAGTCACTTATGAGCATTTTACCGTTTCATTTGACAAAAATTATATATGCCTATATAGACAGAGAAACGTTTGAAAAACTCTTGGTGACCAAAATAGTAACTGAGATTTGTCATTTTGAATAATGAATAGGCTAGATGATCACACACACACACACACATAAAATAAAATTTAAAAAAAAATGTAAAAAATAGGCTGCAACTTTGCATGAAATACAAAGCGATGATCTGATACAGTGGAGGTCTGCAGATGGAGATCATCTATGTAAAGCTAACAACAATGAAAAGAAAATGATTGAATGTGCTGAGAGGTTCAGAGACAGATTTCAGCTTGATTGTCAGACAGGATCTCTCACCATCAGGAAAATCAGCACAAAAGACCCTGGACGTTATGAATTTACCATCATCAGAAATGGACATTTAGAAACATTCAAGCGTTTTAGTGTTAAAGTCTATGGTATGCAGTTTCCTTCTTCAACACTTTCATGCTGGTTATAAATTAATTTGTCTTAAAATGGAGAGCTCATTAAAAAATGAACATTATGTCTGTACTGTACTGTACTGTTTGTAGTCCATGTCCAGG